CTGAACAATGCCTAAAGAGTTTTTTTAAATGTAGGCCCTCCCTTACCCAGTTCCGATTACTAGCACCGCCACTGTTGTCAAATTTTCTGCTGAAAAAATGGATTGAATAACTGTTCTGTACCAATGAGGAGAACAAAGGTATTTACCTACTTTTTCCTTAATTAAACCTGACCTGACCAGATAATTGCACAAAGTCACCGTGATTATCTATGTAGCAAACCATTATCTCTTCAGTTCGGAGGGATAGACAGAGACCATTCCACCGAATTATGTGTGCTTCGGTTCGCGAAACCAATTGAAAACTCACAATTAACCGGAGGTGTTTTTTTTTTAAATTTCCCCACGGATACTGGACATTTCACTGTGCATTTTTCCACATTTGATGAATAAATGGCGACCTCTGGTCATTACCCAATGTTGAAAAGTTATAATGGTATGACCAATGGATCCTGGCAGAGTATCGGAGTCTGGGAAGAAGACAGAGTTTGTTGACATTTAAAATAATGTAATAAAATGTGCCTTGTTCCCAGTCCGCTCTGATTAGCAGAAAACCGTGCAGCAGACGGCACTTAGGACAAGTACCTAAAAAGTGGCAAACAAAGCAATACATTACAAATGCAAAAACTACACTGTACTGACTAAATTATTTTAACAAAAAGGACGCGTTTCGAACACTGAAGTGGCATCATCAACAGGACGCGTCTATCTAACGGCCTTGCAGTGGCGAGATGCGGCGTCTCCTTGCAATCCCAAAAATTAAATTTCAATAATATATTTGCCGAAAATGGATGAGTATTTTTTTTAAATATCTGCTCTCTTATTTTTGTTCTGCCCAAATGCACTTTGACAGTGGGCATCGTCGACAAACATTTGCTGCAGAAAGTGTCTTTTTCTCTCCATGTTATATTTTCTTACCAGTTTAATTCGTTGCCTTTCATAACACTAATGATGTATACTTATCAAGTACACAGGTAAATGTTAACGTCGAAATTTTCGGTATCCACATACTTTATTGCGTCCATCATCTCACAAAGGTTAGCAAGAAAAAGAGGAGCGGGTTCATGGACCAAACTATATTTGAACTGACGTTTCCAAAATCTTCTCGCTTCCAACGGTATATTTTTTGGTAGCTGCGCCTAGTGGTCTTAATTTAGCTCGCCTTGCCGTCTGCTTAACATTATATCAGCGTTGGATGGGCGAACGTTTACCTGACCGTTCGTTGCCGACCCCATCTGGTCGCCCGAAGGTTGGCTCTCGGTGGTCTGGCGTGACCTCCGTCCCC